ATGGAGGATGGATAAACAAACAACGGGATAATTGTTTATAAGGACAAATTTTCAAAACCGACCCATTTGGGTTTTTAATTGCAAAAAACGACCGGTTTTGAAAATATTTACAAAAACCAACCTGTTTTCAGCGAGGGGCTGAAAACAGGTCGGTTTTTTTAAATTTTTTCGGGAAACTTCACGGGAATTGAACTCCCGTGAAGTTTTTTCTCATAACAAAACTTCACGGGAGTTGAACTCCCGTGAAGTTTGGGAACGTGAAGTTTTTTCTCATAACAAAACTTCACGGGAGTTGAACTCCCGTGAAGTTTGGGAAAAAAATTTTTAAAAACCGACCCAGTTTCAACCAACTGGGTCGGTTTTTATAATTAAAATTAAAATAGGTCGTTTTTTGCAATTAAAAACCCAAATGGGTTGGTTTTGAAAATTTGTCTTTGTTTATAATTATTACAATGGTACCGGTTCTGTTTGAGTAAACACCTTAAATTTCTATCCCAGTTTGCATCCTACTTATTAGCCTAAAAGGGTCCGTGGTCTTCGGTGTCTCGTCGGCGTCGTCGTCGTCGTCGAGCGAGAGGATACCGAAGGAGATGGCAGAGCTCTGCGGGCCCCAAAGGCGACAACCTCTACAATTGTGTCTCTTCCATCATCGGCCCTCAAGGTATCGACAGATTAGAGCCTCGATCTTGCCGTCCTTCTCTAATCCCTGCCATAAATTTCATTTCTTTGGATAAGCGTGATTGAAATGGTTCTAGGGTTTGAATATTTGCACCCAAAAAAAAAAAAAAACTGTACTCTTATATTTGATGTTTGCTAAATTGTAAGCAGGTAGGTATTGTCTAATCGTTTCAAAAAAAAACTGTACTCTTATATTTGATGTTTGCTAAATTGTAAGCAGGTAGGTATTGTCTAATCGTTTCCTCATTCCTGCGATGAGAAAGTAAGGTAGTTTGCTAAATTGTAAGCAGGTAGGTATTGTCTAATCGTTTCCTCATTCCTGCGATGAGAAAGTAAGGTAGCAGGCTGGAGGATCTTGAGGTATTGTTCAGGTGTATGATTATCCTAGAAAAGCTTGGGTGGTGTCGATATTCTGTGGTAATCGTGTTTGCAGTCTAGAATTTGGTATATGATACTTTGGGTTGATTATAGAAGGGTGACTATTACAAATGAACACATGGATGTTCTTTACGAGCAATCTTCGTCTGCTGTCGCAACTAGATACAAATTCGTTAAGAAAAATTCTCAAAATATGGGACCAGGGTGGACAATTGAGGTGTCCCCCTCCTATTGCATAATGAGCTGTCCATCTTGATGGCCAGCTCATTATGCAATAGGAGGGGGACACCTCACAATTGATGACTAGCTCATTATGCAATAGGAGGGGGACACCTCAACTGTCCTTGATGGCCAGCTCATTATGCAATAGGAGGGGGACACCTCACATGTCCCTCATGTTGGTCCCATATTTTGGGTCCATGTAGCAAAGCTCATTCGTTAAATTGATGTTATCATATGTGCAATATGCCTGACCCATCCTTTTGCAATCCTGGTTTTCTTTTCCGAAGGAGATGGTGGTATCGGTTTCTTATCTTCTTGTGAGGTCAAAATAAACTATGAGTTCTTGTTCATTCATGTTTCGAAGGTTAAGCCATAAGCCACATCCATACTTGTGTTGATTTGTTTCGGTGTTATCCATGAAAACAGTCAAATACTAGTAGTCGCAAGCAGCAGGTATGTTGACTGGTTTCCTTTTACTTTACTTTTTTTTTCCTTCTTCTATTTGTAGGATCACCATATGAAGGTGGCATATTTTTCCGTGACATTATGTAGTAACATCATCATCACGCGATTCACATTTAGCATTATCCATGACCATCTAGACTTGAAATGATTATTAGATATAATATTCTTCATGCTGTATCATCTTTTATTGCAGTAAACCTGTTTTTCTAAAACTTGTATCTAGATTTATATAACTGAAAATGCCCACCTTATGTTCCCATTTTCCCTTTTGTGATGCCATAGTTGTCCATTCAACAATATGTAAACACAAGCCGCTAGGTGCTTAGAGATATACATGTTCGATTGTCAATTCATGACGTGTAGTCTAGGAGTGTCTGGAGACCCTGGACAAAAGCTAGGCGATGGCTGTCATTTTTTGTTGACTGACGTTGGTGATTATACTCTGAACTAATATTTTTGCGGGCTTCAGCCTTCAAAAATCTTTTAACACCGTGATAGTCATGTGGCATTATGTGTTGACCAGAAAAAAATCCTATCTGCTTTTTAATGGCTAAATAGCACTTAGATACCTTATAGTTTCACTCACTTTGCACTTATATACCCTCAATTGTTTTTCATAGAATTTATATACCTTAAAATTTTTAAATTGTAACAATAATACTTTCTATTATGCAAACATGAAAAATCTTCATCAGGATGTTCTCATATAACACTCATATGCTAATTTTGTAGCTTTGTAACTGTTAATGTTTGTTGAATTTAGTGTTAAACCTATCCAAATTCTATTTTTAAAATAGAACTGAGAAACGTCTGAATTAGATTAGATAGCGTTAACAGTAAACTTAACAAATATTAATGGTTAGAAAGCTCTAGAATTAACATGTGAATGTTATATTGGAACATTTGGGAGAAAATTTCATTTTTTCATAATAGAGGATACTAACGTGCTAGTTTTAAACAACTTTAAGAGTATATAAATGCGATAAAAAAACAATCGAGGCTATATAAGTGCATAGTGAGTGAAAATATAAGGTGTTTAAGTAAAATTTAGCCTTTTAAAACCGTAATATATAGTGATGTGGCGTTGGGTTTTAGGTTTGGAGAATCTTCAATGTAGTAGATTGTTATAGACTATTGTTGTATCTTTGTTTTTTGACAAAAGATATACCACAAGATTTTGATTATAGATTTGGTTATTACATATGCTTAAGAGACTCTGAGCACATTAGAATTCTTTTCAATGGTCCAATTATTCAGATGAAGTGAAATGATCTCATTTCAATAAATTTCCAAGAAAGAACGAAGAAAAAAAGAATTCAACTGCTCAAGTACTGATGTCATTAATTTTGTAATACCCCAAAACATAGTCCCACATCGGATATTAATTTGAGAGTTTGAATGGTTTACAATGTAAGTCCAAAGAGTCAAGTACAACATTAACTAGTCAATTTTCGCAATTGATTTGAGTCAAACCATGTGTTGCACTCAGTGGCTCTAATGCTTACATCGCGTCAACGGGCTCGTGGCTGGGGCGTGACAAATGATATTAGAGCATTTAGCCAACCGGAAGTGTAAAGCTAAGTGTTATGTAGGACTACGAGTTACCTCGTGTGAGCATGATGGAAGCCACCTCTAGAACCCGTAGAAGCTATCTCTAGAGTCTATATTGCCTAGTGGTGATATTGGGATGTGCTTATTTCGTGGCGAGGATGCGCTTGTATAAGGTGAGGTGATTGTATCACAAAAGATAGCCCCACATCGGATATTGATTGAAAGTTTAAGTGGTTTATAATGTTAGTCCAAGGAGTCAAGTGCATTATCGACTAGTCAACTTTGACAGTGGATTGAGCCAAACCATGTGTTGCACTCATTTGGATCTCATAGCGTGCATCGTGTCAACGAGCTCGCAGGCCTGGGGCGTGATAGTTTGAGTATTTGCACAATATCCAGCATCTATCATGCCACTATTGCTAATGTTGTTATATCTTTATAGTGCCAGTACTTGTTGTACTGCAGGTGATATTTAGAACTCGAATATATCACTGTAATGTTTATTCTTCTTGCAATTTAAGCCTGGACATCTTGAAGGACAGTTGGAGTCCCACCTTAACAATTTCAAGAGTGCTAATAGCTATCAAAGCCATCTTCATCAATCCTGATCCATGAAAGTGCATAGCTACCATGTCTTTCCATGGAATTCTTTATTGAATTCTCCTTTTGCAAGGCTTATTTCAAGATTTTTTGCCGCTGCTTATTCGGACTGCTTTATGCAGATAACCCACTTGTTTCAAGCATTGCTTACTTATACTTGACTGATAGAGCTCATCATGAGATACCTTCACAGTTCACTATGCTTTTTGCTCGTTGAGCTGTGAGCTACTAGATTGTCACTCAGGTAGCATTTGGCCTTCAGATACTAGAGATTTGTATTAGTTTGTGATCTGGTATGGAAGTTCAGATATTCGTTCTGCATGTAAAACCTTTTCTGGGACGTTAGTCAATTGGGACTTTTCAAATAGAGTTAGAATAGTTTTTGAAGTGGGCTATGAAAGTGAGATATTTTTGCGGGATAATGATTTAAGGCGGGATAAACTTGGGATAAATTGATAGAAATAAAATGTTGTAATCTATTTTTTTGTGATATAATACCTTAATTTATCTATTTCTTATTCACAAAAAAGAAAGACTAACAAACTCAAGTCTGAAGGATATAGTATGGGAACGTAAGAAGCGCATTACTATGTAGAGAAAATTGAGAAAGCATGTTGATGTGTGATCACATTAAAAATCACATCCACTACGTCGCTAGTTCAATAGTTCATACAGTAATACAATTTATGTCGTCTAGATTTAAATTAAAGATTAGTAAAAACTAAAAATAAGCATGCGTTTAACAAATAATTATAAATAAGCATAGCTTTGTAACATATAAGAGAACAAAATTATTCTAGATTAGCTCCACTCTGAAAATTAGGATAATTTTCTATGGAGGATGGATAAACAACGGGATAATTGTTTATAATTATTACAGTGGTACCGGTTCTGATTGAATAAACACCTTAAATTTCTATCCCATTGTGCATCCTACTTATTTAGCCTAAAAAGGCAGAGTGAGTCCGTTCGTGGTCTTCGGCGTCTCGTCGGCGTCGGCGTCGAGCGAGAGGATACCGAAGGGGATGGCAGAGCTCTGCGGGGCCCAAAGGCGACGACCTCTACAATTGTGTCTCTTCCATCATCGGCCCTCAAGGTATCAACAGATTAGAGCCTCGATCTTGCCGTCCTTCTCTAATCCTAGCCATAAATTCCATTTCTTTGGATAAGAGTGATTGAAATGGCTCTAGGGTTTGAATATTTGCGCAAAAAAAACTGTACTCTTATATTTGATGTTTGCTAAATTGTAAGCAGGTAGGTATTGTCTAATCGTTTCCAAAAAAAACTGTACTCTTATATTTGATGTTTGCTAAATTGTAAGCAGGTAGGTATTGTCTAATCGTTTCCTCATTCCTGCGATGAGAAAGTAAGGTAGTTTGCTAAATTGTAAGCAGGTAGGTATTGTCTAATCGTTTCCTCATTCCTGCGATGAGAAAGTAAGGTAGTAGGCTGGAGAATCTTGAGGTATTGTTCAGGTGGATGATTATCCTAGAAAAGCTTGGGTGGTGTCGATATTTTGTGGTAATCGTGTTTGCAGCCTAGAATTTAGTATATGATACTTGGGGTTGATTATAGAAGGGTGACTATTACAAATGAACACATGGATGTTCTTTACGAGCAATCTTCGTCTGCTATCGCAACTAGATACGGATTCGTTAAGAAAAATTTTCCAATGACCCAAAATGTGGGACCAACAAGATGGACAGTTGAGGTGTCCCCCTCCTATTGCATAATGAGCTGGCCCCCTTTTATTGCATAATTGATGATCAGCTCATTATGCAATAGGAGGGGGACACCTTATAATTGATGGCCAGCTCATTATGTAATAGGAGGGGGACATCTCAACTGTCCTTGATGACTAACTCATTATGCAATAGGAGGGGATACCTCACTTGTCCCCCATGTTGGTCTCATATTTTGGGTCACTGTAGCAAAGCTCATTCGTTAAATTGATGTTATCATATGTGTAATATGCCTGACCCATCCTTTTGCAATCCTGGTTTTCTTTTCCCAAGGAGATGGTGGTATCGGTTTCTTATCTTCTTGTGAGGTCAAAATAAACTATGAGTTCTTGTTCATTCATGTTCCGAAGGTTAAGCCATAAGCCACATCCATACTTGTGTTGATTTGTTTTGGTGTTATCCATGAAAACAGTCGAATACTAGTAGTTGAAAGCAGCAGGTATGTTGACTGGTTTTCTTTTACTTTACTTTTTTTTCCCTTCTTCTATTTGTAGGATCACCATATTAAGGTGGCATATTTTTCCTTGGCATTATGTAGTAACATCATCATCACGCGATTCACATTTAGCATTATCCATGATCATCTAGACTTGAAATGATTATTAGATATAATATTCTTCATGCTGTATCATCTTTTATTGCAAGCAAACCTGTTTTTCTGAGACTTGCATCTAGATTTATTTAACTGAAAATGTCCACCTTGGATCCAACCAAATCAAGGGAAAATGGGAACAGAAGGTGGACATTTTTAAAAATAGTACTTTCGATTATGCAAACATGAAAAATCTTCATCAGAATGTTCTCATATAACACTCATATGCTAATTTTGTAGCTTTGTAACTGTTAATGTTTGTTGAATTTAGTGTTAAACCTATCCAAATTCTATTTTTAAAATAGAACTGAGAAACGTTTGAATTAGATTAGATAGTGTTAACAGTAAACTTAACAAATATTAATGGTTAGAAAGCTCTAGAATTAACAAGTGAATGTTATATTGGAACATTTGGGAGAAAATTTCATTTTTTCATAATAGAGGATACTAACGTGCTAGTTTTAAACAACTTTAAGAGTATATAAATGCGACAAAAACAATCGAGGTTATATAAGTGCATAGTGAGTGAAAATATAAGGTGTTTAAGTGAAGTTTAGCCTTTTAAGACTGTAATATATAGTGATGTGGCATTGGGTTTTAGGTTTGGAGAATCTTCAATGTAGTAGATTGTTATAGACTATTGTTTTATCTTTGTTTTTTTGACAAAAGATATACCACAAGATTTTGATTATAGATTTGGTTATTACATATGCTTAAGAGACTCTGAGCACATTAGAATTCTTTTCAATGGTCCAATTATTCAGATGAAGTGAAATGATCTCATTTCAATAAATTTCCAAGAAAGAACGAAGAAAAAAAGAATCCAACTGCTCAAGTACTGATGTCATTAATTTTGTAATACCCCAAAACATAGTCCCACATCGGATATTGATTTGAGAGTTTGAATGGTTTACAATGTAAGTCCAAGGAGTCAAGTGCAACATTAACTAGTCAATTTTCGCAATTGATTGAGTCAAACCATGTGTTGCACTCAGTGGCTCCAATGCTTACATCGCGTCAACGGGCTCGCGGCTGGGGCGTGACAAATGATATTATAGCATTTAGCCAACCGGAAGTGTGAAGCTAAGTGTTATATAGGACTATGTGTTACCTCGTGTGAGCATGATGGGAGCCACCTCTAGAACCCGTAGAAGCTATCTCTAGAGTTTACATTGCCTAGTGGTGATATTGGGATGTGCTTATTTCGCGGCGAGGATGCGCTTGTATAAGGTGGGGTGATTGTATCCCAAAAGATAGTCCCACATCGGATATTGATTGAAAGTTTAAGTGGTTTATAATGTATGTCCAAGGAGTCAAGTGCACTATCCACTAGTCAACTTTGACAGTGGATTGAGCCAAACCATGTGTTGCACTCATTTGGATCTCATAGCATGCATCGTGTCAACGAGCTCGCAGGCCTGGGGCGTGATAGTTTGAGTATTTGCACGATATCCAGCATCTATCATGCCACTATTGCTAATGCTGTTATATCTTTATAGTGCCAGTACTTGTTGTACTGCAGGTGATATTTAGAACTCGAATATATCACTGTAATGTTTATTCTTCTTGCAATTTAAGCCTGGACATCTTGAAGGACAGTTGGAGTCCCACCTTAACAATTTCAAGAGTGCTAATAGCTATCAAAGCCATCTTCATCAATCCTGATCCATGAAAGTGCATAGCTACCATGTCTTTCCATGGAATTCTTTATTGAATTATCCTTTTGCGAGGCTTATTTCAAGATTTTTTGCCGCTGCTTATTCGGACTCCTTTATGCAGATAACCCACTTGTTTCAAGCATTGCTTACTTGACTGATAGAGCTCATCATGAGATACCTTCACAGTTCACTATGCTTTTTGCTCGTTGAGCTGTGAGCTACTAGATTGTCACTCAGGTAGCATTTGGCCTTCAGATACTAGAGATTTGTATTAGTTTGTGATCTGGTATGGAAGTTCAGATATTCGTTCTGCATGTAAAACCTTTTCTGGGAGCTGCACCCTTGTTGCACTACTCGCATTTCAGATTTTATTTGAAGATGTACTAATACTGTGCGTAGTGTCTATTTTGCGTGTGAAATACGACATCCGTGTACATAAATTTGTCAAATTTCAAATTTAGTGAATAGATGTAGCCTATGAATTTGTATAAATTAATCAATCTGCAGGTGTTTTCCTAGATTCATAACTTTCCTGTAGTAATAAGGAAAGCACATTGGATATTTGTGATGCTTTTTCATGTCTTATAGTCCGAACAATCAGCATAGTTGTTGCCTGAATTGATACCTGTTTTCTGGCAACTTGGTAACTTGTCTATTACCAAATTTGTTGTGGGTCACAGGGGTTTGTTCAATAATCATATGCGTAGGCACCTAGATGTATATACATGTTTTTGGTTGATATCATATTGAAAAGAAATTAAAAAGAAGGATAGGAAGGAAGGCCAAAGAGAAAAAAGGGTGTGTGCTACCATCTTCCTGTCTACTATGATGAACTTAAGTACATGGAACTTCTATTTTTTTATCAGTAAGTGTCGGGAGTGTGTCCACCTACCATCTTCCTGTCTGCCCTAATGAACTTAGTACATGAAACTTCTATATTCAATGCTTCATCACCAAGTTACGTTTTTTGTATTTTTTATAGCAGTCTATCTCAGACACTAACCAAAAGCAACTATGGAGGTAATTGATCTTTTAATTAACTTAACCTGTAAACCAGCACTCTAAAAATATTTTATTAGGGAGAAGCTATCCTCAGCCGCCTTGGTGCTAGCTTTCCTCTTAATTGTCGACCATGGCAAGGAAATCTGAACTGATCAAACATTCTTCTAATCCGTGGATTTCCAACCAAAAAAAAGCCTCAAGTGGGCAGACAACCTGTGAAGCGAAGAAAATGAGTTGCCATGAAAGTCAAAGAAGCTATCCTTCATCCATTGGTTCTTTAAATCATGAGTCAGCTGCTAAGAAGAGAAACGGTATGTACACTTGTATCCAAAAATCTCCTGTTCGAGATAATGAGCTGCAGAAAGACAGCAGCAGCTTCCTGCTCATTGCTGAAGGGATTATGAAGCAAAGCATTAGACAGTAGAATGTTATCAATACTGAAACCAATCAACATGTCAGGTGCAAGATGAAGGCCACAATCCCAGTCAAGTTCCCGAGCAAGGTACAAAATGAGGGTCTATGGTGTGTTCATTGTGAATTTTGTGATGCAGGAATGGAGATTGATAATAGGTTGTCTGTGGTATGCTCCTAAATATGAAAGTCTTAAAACCCTTCAGGGTTTTTAGAGGTAACATCTACCGTATCAGAATAATTATCACCAAAATAATTGCCATGAGTTGAGATCTTTCTCAGGATCCTGTTAACAGGTTTTAGATCCATGTCTGGCCCAGGTTTATGGCTTAAAGAAACTGAGGAATATGAAAGCTAGCTGAAAAGTTCACTAGGATCACACTTTTCTTCAAATAATGTCCAGGTACTATCTGATTATATCAAGGTTACTGCTTACCATTTATTTGCATTCTAAATGTCCACTCTACCATAGGAGCTGGTTTCATTGAAAAAATTGGAAATCAGCATGCATGACCGTAATGGGAATTGCCATCTTCAAATTATATGAAGAAACTCTTTATTTTATTTCTTTTTAATAATCATCACAAGTCAGTGCTTCATCACAAAGTCTCATATGTACATGCTTTTTGTTGGAACATCACTTTCAGGTCTAACAAAAGGCAAATCAAAGAAAGAGTTGATCTTTCAATTAACTTTGCAAATGACGTACCACCTGTTAAGTGACTTGTCTCTCCCTTTCCAGAAGCTGAATTTACACTCCAACCATCACTCTTATACCCGTCTTTCACCAAAAGAAGAACCCACTGGGATACATAAATACATTCATGGTTCTTGTTTTCTTGTCAGATCACAGTCATGGCAAGCAAACCTGAACTTATCAAGCATCGGCACTATGATCCAAGCATGTCCAAGAGAACAAGGAAACCTCAACTGGCTACAAAAGTCTCTCTGAATCGAGATGATGAGCTGCCCAAGGAAAGCAACAGCATCAATAACTCATCAGATAGCTCTCTGAATCAAGAAGACGACCTGCTCAAGGAAAAGAACATCTTTCATCAACTGTCTCTAATCTCTCTCGACCAAGATGATGAGCTGCAGAAGGACGACAATGGAATTCCACGATCATCGCTGAAGGAGTTGATGAATCATGGAAATGGACGAGAGGAAGTTGCCAATACTGAAACTAATCAAGGGGATGAAATTGGTGGTGAGATGACAGCAGCAATTTCAGAGGATAAGAACGGTCTTGCTCTTGTGCCAATACAAGGAGAGGGCGGAGTCAAAAGAGGTGGAATGATGAGTAGATACGTAAAAGTTTTGAGCCATTTTATCAAGGCGAAGCATTCAAAGAAAAAAACAGGGATCCGGCTATTGAAGCCATAAAAGAGCAGCATACAAGTTGGGTATTATCTAGTATAATGTAAATTTCATTTAGATCTTTGGTGGGATTTCTTCGCTCAGAAGATCATATACTGGTGAAAATGTTGGGATATGCTACCTGAGTGCTTCTATGGGATTTTACTGAACTAACGCCCATAATAATAATAATAATAAACCTTTTGGATCAGTTTTATAGTCTAGTATCAATTTTGTGACATTTTATTAAGCTTTATCTGTAAATTTTTTATCTGGGCTAAACTTTCATTACTGCAACTGATATATATACAGTATTGGTCTGAGGCTGTTGATTGAATTCATCCGATCTCATGTCACATTGCAAGATCACATGTAATTTTGCTCACTGTAGTGTTCAAGAGGTCTGCAAAACATAGACAACACCGTAACTATGATACTAGCATTAGCATATTTTGTTTAGTTGATAATACCTAGTGACTGATGGATGTTGGCTCGCAATCTGCGGGTTCAAATATCGACTGAAAGCTCCGAAACATTCTACAAGATGCGGAATTATTGAAACTGGTCACAAAGCCTATGTGTTTGTGTTGGATCTTCATATTACAGTTTCAAAACGTAATTTGCAAGAATGCACGACGGTGGCTAACATTCTGTTCTGAACTGGACTGGTCCATTTGCGAAACATGTCAAAGTGGCTTATAAGCGACAAAATTGAATCATAATCTGTGGATTATAAGCCACTTTTACCATTTGCCAAACATGCTCTTAAGTTTTTGCGTGGCAAATATGGGACTTAGATGGTGTTTGGAAATGCTTTTTGAAGCTTATTATTAGTTATGTTAGCTTTTAGTCGTTTTTTACTTTTATGATAAAAATATTATAAAAGTTGTCTGGTTAGTATAGTAATTTGTTTGGTCAAACCTAGCTTATTTTGGTGATCTTATAAGTTAGTTTTTCAAAAGCTAGGTATACTAGCTTTTTTAAAATGTGACTTATAAGCTAACTTATTGCGTATTTTACCAAACAAATGAGAAGACTAGCTTAAAAACTAGTTTGACCAAAAAATAAGCCGCCTCAAATACCCTCTTAGATCACCGTTTTTGAAACTTCTAACCGTTATCAAAGCATATGCTCACCGCAAAGGAACGGGAGAATTATATTTAAAGATAAGTTCTTTCATACAATTACACCTCTGTGGCAATGCTTTCGGCACAAATTTTCAACATCCAAGATTGAAGGCAATGCCTCAACTAATCAAATCAAATCAAAATTAGTCTAAACAAAAATTAAAATACCGAACTTTACTAAACCTAGATCGGATTCAGACCAAAGTAATTTATCGCGTTTGAATTCTGAACACAGACAGCACATCTTCAAGTGAAAAAGCCCAAACGAAAGGCTTGAATGGAGAATATTTTTCCTATGTTCTGCTCAAACAAGAAAAATAAAAACCTAAAACTAGACTGTCCTTTTCCTAAAAATAAAATAAAATGAGGTCTAGAAAAAGAAAAGCGACGGGGAAAGGCCACGACCGTTGCAGCTACCTAACTCGTGCTCAAAACATCCACAAACTGCCAACTACCTCGTCGCCTTCGGTCTGAATATAAAACCAACCAACATTCAACTCTCTCCCTCTCTCTCTCTCTTCCTGCTACGTGTACTCTTGTCAGTTGTCAGTTTCACCGATGGCCTGCCGCTTCAAGATTGAGCCAGCTGTGGAAGTCGAGGCGAGACATCGCCGCCGCGGGCGGTGCAGTCTGGGCCCGCGGACGCCGCGGCGCTCTGCGAGGAGCTGCGTCGGATATGCGGGTCCCACCAGAGAGAGGGATCGGAGGCTGAGATGTGGAGGGGCGTAGTGGAGAGGGGGCTGCTGAAGCCTAGCCACCCTCACCAGCTTCATCAGCTGGTTTACTACTCTGCGTACGCCAAATGGGATGTCTCAGCTCGAGGCCCACCTCCGTATTGGTTCCCTTCCAAGTAAAAAAAAAATCTTTTTTTTTTAATTTTAATGTTAGGGTCTACTTCACAATAAGAAAAATGACAGTTTGCTGTGGAACACTTCACAAAAAATTCTCTCATGAAATTCTTTGGCTTATGATTGATCGAAATTTCCTATTTCATGATGCCATTATTTGCTTGATAAACTGTGAATTTAATTCCCTTCCTGACTCAACTTATGGTTACTATAACATCCCAAAAATTATTACTTGGAATTTCCAGTCTTCCTATACTTTTAAATTTTTATTTTACTTCTTTTTTTCCAATCCCCATGGAATCGAGTTAAAGTTTATTCTTTATTCTTTACTCCACGTTTTATTTGGAAAAGGAGAAATTTTTAAAACCAACCATTTTTTAAATTTAATGGGCAAATTCGACCTATACGAAAAAATATTACCGAAACCGACCCTTTTCAGAAGAAAATGGTCGGTTATGCAGCGGAGGGGATTTTACGAAGTGCACGGGACTAGCAGTCCCGTGCATTTCGTGTTCAGTACACGAAGTGCACGGGACTGCTAGTCCCGTGCACTTGGTCTTCAACAGCCCACTCCCTCTCTGCCTAAAAGTCGGGACTAGCGTACACTTCGTTTACTGAACACGAAATGCACGGGACTGCTAGTCCCGTGCACTTCATGTGCACGTTTTTGTGCACTTTTTAGCTGCATTTCAGGTAGTCCCTGTGCATACATCCACACAAACTTCCTCTAACAAATCACATACTCATTTCACCACTGCATTTCATGTAGTCCCTGTGCATATATCCACACAAACTCCCACAAACAAATTACATACTCATTTCACCACATACTCATTTCAAATCAAACAAATCACATCACACCACAAACTCCCACTAACAAATCCAACATAATAACACTACAAACCCACTGAGAAATCCAACAAATCACACCATAGTATCGACTACAAATCCAAAAACCATGTCACATCCCTAAATAGTTTTGTAATGTACATAGCCTGTAGTTTACATACATCCAAGAACTCTCATCCTCCTCCTTTGTCTTCGTCGTCCTCCATACCGCCCTTCGACGAGTTCGTGATCCGGTTGCGTTTGTGGTTGTGACGGTCCAGTTCCATCATCAACACATTGGGAAGGTCCAGCTTCATCGTCATTTCTGTGTCGTCCTCGACTTTGTCGCTGTTGTCATGTGTATATGAATGGTGTTACCTCCCGTCCATCATGACGATCTTCGTGAGTTCGGTGTAAGGCTTGGTGAAGCCTCTACATTATGGCCTGATATATTGATACATGTTCATGTGCTTCGGGATTTCTACCTACGATAGATAGTTCAAAAACAAAATTTGATATTAAATTTGATATTAAAGAATGTAAATTTGAGATTTAATTCTATCGTACCTGCTCGAGCCAATTCCAAGCCACGGTTTGCAAGAGTTTAAACTTCATCTATTGCTGATATCTGCCCATTTTTTAACACATATTAGCAATATTGAGCAATACCAATAAAAATGGACTTAAATCAAAATATAAAAATACTTACTAATTCTCTTTCATCTATACCCCGGGACACATATCCTCTTTGTGACTCAACCGGTATTATGGTCGAATGAAATATCCATTTTTGGGTTATCCCCCAATACCAAGTGTAGTAATCTGATTCCCGAGGAGTTGGTTCAATTTGGTTGACAATACAAAAATGTCTATCATTCCATCTGTGTATAAAAGCTTGATGCACGATCATCCAGTTTATTTGTTGGCCTCCTTTCTTTGCCTTCCTCTCTATCTTTTCAACAAATTGCGGAACATGTTGTGCACGACCAAATTGTCGAAGCACGCGGTCCGGTACATGCATTTCTACTATCTCCAAACATATAAGAGGAACTCTAGCTCTCCATACAACTTAGTATTTTGTACATACAATTATACACATGTCAATAATCAATCAAATAGTAATTAAGTTTCTTTATTGAAGTATATAAAAATAAAAAAAAGTATATAAATTACCAATTAGTTACTATCTATTGTGTCTAGATGGACAACGAGGTCGAGTATGTCCTGGTTATTTGCAAAGACTATATTTTTTATGCTTGACAACTCCTTCTCGCCCTTGATCCATGGTTCCCCTAATTAGCACAGATCGTGGTCGACCTGCTTGTCTCCGGTACTAAGGTGGAATTATACGTGGTCCATTATATTCAGGCCAATACCGACTATCATCAGGCGGAATCAACATCAAATAGTTTAACGGTGTAGATACCGTCACAATCTTGTACCTGCCATTCGTTGTCGTTGAAACATCAAATAGTTTAACGGTGTAGATACCGTCACAATCTTGTACCTGCCATTCGTTGTCGTTGAATACGGTAATTTGACATGATCTTGTTGCCTCAATTCTTCTATGCAAAATACTCATTTTTTGGTGTGTAACGTGTTGTCCAGTCTATGCCATCACCACGCCTTTTGTTGAAGTATGTGTTTAGTCTATAGAACGTTCTCGCAACCAAAGATTGTATTGGCATAGCTCGTGCTCCTTTAAGAACGTCCTTAAAGCTCTCAGAGCAATTAGTCGTCATCATGCAAAACCGCACACCCTCATTCTTACATAATGCCCACCGATGCTCGCATTGAGGCTTCAAGTTATTTTCAATCCAATTATGTGAATCTAATGACAAAGACTTGATTTTCTTCCTGCAATGTTCATACACTAATGTGTCGGTTGCACACCCGGCTTGCCACAAGATTTTGCAAACTAATCTCACTGTGTTTTTTCTTAAAATTATCTCTTATATGACTTAAACAATATCGATGGTGATGTGGTGCACTAAAACCCTCATGTAACGTCCTTATAATTCCTTTCATCCTATCCGAGATAAAAGTAATTATTCTTGGCGCACGGACACTTGGAATCCACTTGTATATAAGTTTAAAAAACCACTCGGACACTTGGAATCCACTTGTATATAAGTTTAAAAAACCACTTCCAACTAGACGTATCCTCCACCTCCACAGTTGAAAATGCTAGAGGAAATAACCCGACATTTGCATCTGCACCGGTCGCTACAAGAAGCACGCCTTTATACTTTCCATATAAATGTGTACCATCAATGCTCAATAGCGGACAACAAAAAGTGAAGCCCTTAATAACAGGACCAAATGCCCAAAACACTTGAGTGAACCTCTTCATACCCGGTGCAATCTCTTCGGATAATATTTCGTATTCAGTACCTGGATTATTTCGCTTGATAGCTTCAAGATACTGTGGAAGTAATTCATATGATTTTTCCCAATCACCAAAAATTTTAGACAACGCTTTTCTCCTTACATCATATGCCTTATATTTAGATATCTTAATCCTCCGCATGTCATATACCCTCTGAAATATCTGACATGCATTCAGATCAAGTTCAGCTCTAACTTCAGGCATAATTAGCTTATATATATAAGAAGAAGATGCAGAATGCATTCAGATCAAGTTCAGCTCTAACTTCAGGCATAATTAGCTTATATATATAAGAAGAAGATGCAGAATAATCATCGACATCCACCGACGGGTTCTTCAGGCATAATTAGCTTATATATATAAGAAGAAGATGCAGAATAATCATCGACATCCACCGACGGGTTACAACATGTATGAAGTCCGCAATATCTAGATATTACATATTACAAATTGCCCATTTGATGATTTCTTCACGGCGGCATTTAGCAACCAATGACATTTTCTATTTCTGTCATCTTACTCATTTGCGTTCTCTATTTCAATCTTCTCGTTAAAGAAGCATTTCACATTGTAGTTTGTTGTATTAGTTTTTACCGGCTTGAATTTGACCCGATTCTTGATGGATCATTCTCGGATTGCAAAGATCAGTAGCTCCTTACTCTCAAATAGATCCCCTTTTTTAAAAGTAAAATCCTCATATCGTTGTAAATTTGGACCAACATCAACAAATCCAGCTTAAGAAGTATTTATCCAATCCTCATTATGAAACTCGTCGGGCAACGGATCTTCAGCTTCCACATAATTATTGTTTAACATTAAATTGCTCCATCCAACGGGCGTCATCATCGATTCCAGCTGCCACATGCATGCTATCAATTTACACGCTATCTTCTTCAATATGATCTGAATCATCATCTGTTTCATCTTCTATAATTGCTCCGACTGGTGGGTAACCCGTAACATGACCTAAAGCGTCGTTAAATATATTAGTTGATGTCCCACCGATAGAATACCCACTTAAATATTATGGTTGAAACCACGGCTCTTGACTTGGAGATGTCATAAAACCACTCGACTCGTTGTCTAAGTCAAGCATCCGAGAAAACTCTCCTTGAGATCGTAAAACTTGGGTAAATTCCTGAATCGGATACTTCTCAATAAACAACTCAATTGACGCTTGCTTCTCGACTAATTGTTTCATGTCATTTAATTCCTCATCGTCGGTAATCTCCACAACAATAGTTCTACTCTCATTTATTGGACAGTTGAAGAACACCCTAATTGCATATTCTTCTTTCTTAATTTTAGTAACTCTGTATATTTCCTTAGTCATTCCATCAAAATTACACGACTTAGATAGCATGAACATTTTCCTAGAACCTCCATCTATTTCCTTAGTCATTCCATCAAAATTACACGACTTAGATAGCATGAACATTTTCCTAGAACCTCCATCATACATAGGCAAATTATTCACTCCGACGCCGAGACTCCAATTGAAGAAACAAATAATGGGTATGGAGTTCGTCATCGAAACTGAAAATCAACCGTCCATCATACGCAAATAATCTATTAATAACTGAAAATATTATTCATCAAATTTATTACCTTAATCAATCCCAAATAATGGCTAAACCCTAATTATTATTCATCATATGTAAATAATTGCTAAATCCTAACTCCCAAATCATATTATTCATCCTATTACACAAAATAAAAACTAATCCTACCCAATTCTAGCAAAACTAACAGCAAAATTAACAGCCAAAACATTATTCACCCAATTCTAGCAAAATTTGATGAATATCCCTCTCAAAAATAATTGATAAACCCTCTCATATGTAAATAATTGCTAAACCCTAACTCCCAAATCACATTATTCACCAAATTCTAGCAAAATTTGATGAATATCCCTCTCAAAAATTAACTGCAAAATTAAAAAAAAATCACACCTGAGGATGTGGGGTCGGTGGGGATCGATGGGGTCGGCGGCGACAGGGTCGGCGGCTCGACGAGGTCGGCGGGCTAGGGGGGCAGCGGGGTAGGGCAGTGGTAACCACGAGGGAGGGAAAGGGGTTTTTTTTTTGGGGGGCTTCGGTCACGAGAGCGTCGGCGGGGGTCGACGGGGTCGGGGCGACTGCAAAATGGTGGGCTCGACGGGGTCGGCGGGCTGGGTAGGCGAGGACGGGGCTAGGGTTTTTTTGCGGGGCTACAGGTTTTTTTGCGGGGAGGGTGGTCACGAGGAGTTGCGGGGGTGGTCACGAGAGCGAATGAAAGAAAGGAGATGAGTCACGGGGGTAGCAAACTGCACGCGCACTAGTAGTCCCGTGTAGCTCGATAATAGAGTTGGTTGCAAAACCGACCCTTTTCAGTCGGTTTTGCTGATTTTTTTTCTCATGGGGTCGATTTTGCCCAATAAAATCGAAAAAAAGGTCTCTTTTAAAAATTTCTCCTTTGGAAAAATATAAATGCAGGCCAAATTATCTTTTGTAAATCTTTCCTCGAAAGTAATCTAATTTGTTTTCCAGGGTGCACTGCAAAGATACAAATCTTGGGCGAATAATGGAAGTTCATGGTCCAAAGGTTTTGGGATCACTATATCACGATCCCATTGAAAGCTTTGCTCTCTTCCAGAAATTCTCAGTTCAGCATCCTGAGGTGCCTCGCTATCTTCTTAAAACTTAAATGGCATGCATGTTCATTGAAACTGAGACTTGCTACTGGTTTCAGGTCTATTGGTCAATTGTCGTTAAAGAGCTCGCAGTTACATTTCATGATCCTCCAAAAACTATTTTAGATACTTCAGATGAATCTAAGAGCGGGGGAACTTGGTTTCCAGGAGCAGTCCTGAATATAGCTGAGTGTTGTCTGCTACCGAGCCATTCACCAAAAAGGACTGATGAGAGCGTCGCCATTGTTTGGAGGGATGAAGGTTTTGATGATTCCCCTGTTAACTATTTGACACTAAGGGAACTCCGTGAGCAAGTGATGTATGTGGCCTTTTGCAATTGCTTTGCCTATTCTCCATACTTATATTAGGAACTATATATTTTATGCTATAAATCAGTGACATGCTCGCAGAAAGCTTTGTCCTTCTAAATGGCAGATAATTTCTTTATTGAAGACTAACCAAGACTTTCCTCTAAAATGTTGCTCAGGATGGTTGCAAATGCTCTTGATGCTACATTTACAAAGGGAGATGCAATTGCTATAGATATGCCGATGACATATACTGCAGTTATCATATACTTAGCCCTTATTCTTGCCGGATATGTTGTTGTCTCAATAGCTGACAGCTTTGCTGCAAAGGAAATTGCCAGTCGTATGAGAATATCTGATGCAAAAGGAATATTTACTCAGGTGATGTTCCTCACAGGTCATATTTTATTTTCTTTTTGTTATTGCATAAAGAGCGGGTAGGAAATAGGACAAGATAAACAATTCCAGAAAATCTTCTTATTTGATGCAAAATAATAAACACGGCTCTTCAGGCTATGATATTCTAATAAAAATAAGAGCACTTCAAAACCTTATGCAAATGTATTTAACCTCTATTAGTCAAATATGGATTGAAGATGATGCTTCTGCTACAGTCTTATTGCTAAAAAATGACTAAAGACGCATCCGTTAAGCTAATGGATCTACATCTCGGGAAAATCCTGGAAATATCATTTGATAAAGATTTTTTTTTATAGTGCACGTTCGGTGCACAAATTTCATATAGATTTAATGGCACACGGCTCTGTCATGTGAAATAGAAGTGAGATAGTTAGGAAGAATGTTAAGATGAGCAGACAGATCATATAAGTTTTTCTATGTACAGTAAGAATATACAGTAGACTGAGCAAATATATTATCTCCAAGACTATGTGGTATCTACAAAATCAGCAATTAATTATTAGAACTATTCTATTGAGGAAATACATGATCTTCCCACTCTTTGGGATCTAGGTATTTATCCAGTACTGTTTTATTAGCCAAGAGGACAAATATCTTACTGTATGTTACCGAAAGAAAATCGCACTTGAAATACATTCTACAGAACTGTTATATAATAAAGACCACAGAATTCAGGAACCATGATGCAAGAGATATGGCTGAAACTAAATGCAAATATTCTTCATGCAATTTCATGCCTACCAGAAAAGTCCAGATGTAATTAGATTTTGTTTTATGCTTCAGGATTTTATTAGCAGAGGAGGGAGAAAGTTTCCTTTGTATAGGTAAGATTCCTTGATACTGTACGCTTGTATGTTCTTTCATCCAAGATTCACTAGACTAATTATCATGCTCAAAGTGCACATGTACCAAATAATGACTAATCATTGCCAAAGAACATTCCCTCATGAAAAACTATTCAAATGACATATATATGAACTTGAATATACATCATCTATTTTACATGATTCTATATGTAAACCGAATACAATGCTAAGCATTGTCCATTCATATGATTCATCTATCGTAAAGGTCTAGCTTCAGCATGAATAATCATATAACTAGCAAGGCATTAATGATACGGGTGTATCTTCTCTTCAGGAGCTTAGCGATCCTCATGGGAGCTTGAGGATAGGAGATTCTCATATCTTGGGAATAGGAGCATGGATGGAGCCAAAGAAGACGGTGAAAGAAGTCAACAGGAGCGAAACGCAAAAGAACAGGGTAAACTGGCAGATCTCTGGCCGGTCAACCGCAGCACACATGCCGGTCGACCGGAAAATCTGCACGATGCAGGGTTTGAGAAAACTCTCTGGCCGGTCGACCGGACCAAGTCTGACGGTCGACCGGATCGCGATTTCTGGGTTTCCTGTTTCGTTTTGGATTCTGTTTTGACAGAGATTCCTGATTCTTTTAGGCTTGTTTATTTACAAGATTGCCATCCACGTTCGCACATCTATAAATAGGATTGTTTTAGGGTTCTAAACAATGAGATCTCAGAGAGAAGTGATCAAGAGAAATTCTAATAATAGTATTAGGGTTTTAGAGAGAGAGTTGAGAGGTTGTTCTCGATTCTAGTGAGATTGTGAGGGAGAGATTGTAATCTTTTGTTCTTCATAATCTAGAGAAGGTATTTTCCTTCGCCTTATACTGAATTGTTCTTGTGTTTTGGTCATCCTCTTCTCAACCCACCTTTTGGTAATTCCGCGACCAAAGGGTGCTCGCACGGCGACTCGTATCAAGTTGGTATCAGAGCACTAGATCCGGTGAAGGGGCATCCTGTGTATGGTCCTTATTCGTTCCTCATACAAGAAGCTTGGCGGGATCCTTGTTTCATTGGAAGGAGTCCAGGATTTAAGGAATGAGAAGATGGCTGAAGGAGATAATTCAGCGAGAATTGATGCATTAGAGAAGCAGATCGAGACGATAGGGTCGACGCTCACAAAACTCGTCGGTCTCATCCAAGGAGGGAACGAAAAGGGGGAATCTTCTTCTAGGTCTAAGAAGAAACCTATAGAGTCCGGTGGAGAGAGCGAGCTTTCAGGCTCCGACGAGGAGGACGAGACCGTCAAGGCTGCACCGCATCAAGGGGGTAAGAATTCTTACCAGAATCTGAAGATTGATTTCAGAGTGGAGATTCCTATTTATGATGGGAGTGTTGATGTCGAGAGGCTTGATGACTGGATCGAGCGGATGGAGACGTATTTTACTCTTTATGGCTATTCGTCAAAAGAGAAGATTGTGTTCGCGACTTTGAAGCTTTCAGGACACGCGTTGACGTGGTGGAAATCCTATTGCAAACAGGAGAAGAAAGCGGCGTCGTGGAACAAGTTCAAGGAGCTACTTAGGAAACAGTTCTATCTGGTGGGATTCCTTGAGGAGCGTTGGTATAAGTGGTATGGCTTGCGCCAAAGGGTCAATCAAACCGTTCAAGAATACATTACGGAGTTCCAGCAGCAGGCGATGGTCCTTAACATTGCGACAGAGGAATATTCCGTGTTTATGAAGTATATGACGGGATTGAGCGATTACATCCGAAAGGAGATGAGGTTATTCACGGTCGAGACTATTGCAGATGCGAGCGTGAAGGCCATTGCCATTAAGGGCAAGCAAAAGAAGAGCAACGAAGCAAAGGGGGATGCAAAGCAAGTTGGAGGCAAGTCTAGTGGTTCTCAGTTTAAGGAGGAGAAGAAGAAGGGTGATCCAGGAAAAGCAGGGCTGATTTGTAGTCACTGCGAGAAGACAGGACACGAAGTTGATCGATGCTGGGAGAAGTATCCTCATCTCAAGTCAAGAGGGTTAAAGAAGAAGAAGGAGAAAAAGGCATACATGATAGCTCAAGGTCCGAAAGAAGTCCCGGGGATGACAGAGCCTAATAGCAGTCTCAATCTTATGACGGGGAAACAGGCCACAAAAGAGGACGACGACCCGAGAGAGCAGCTCTTTGTTCTTAAGTTGCAAGTGAAGACCAGTTTGGTTGATGCCATAGTTGATCCGGGCAGCGAGAAGAATTTGATATCCGAAGCCTTGGTTCAGAAGCTGGATCTGAAGATGGTCAAGCATCCGAAGCCCTATCCATTAGGATGGATTCAGAAGGAGGAGAAGCTAAGTGTAGTTGATCAATGCACTGTAAGATTTGCGTTCCATGAGTCGTATATTGACGATGTCACATGCGACGTAGTTCCATTGGATGTTTGTCAGATTATACTGGGCAATCCGTACTTATGAGATAGATATGCGATCTACGAGAGGCGGGCTCAGAAATATACATTCACCAAGGGTGGTGAAAAGTTCATATTTCGTTCGGCATCTCTTCCGAGGGAGACAAGCTTGGGAACGGTGACGCGAGCGAAGAGGTTAGTGAATGCAAGCAAGAAATTTGTCTCGCTGTGCATTAGACTTTCAGAAAAGCCATCGATTGAGGATTGCAACTTGGAGTGAGAAGTGACTACGACGAGACGCGGGATGAATGAGTTATTTCCGATCGGACGTCGAGATCAGATTCCTAGCAAGGCCAGGTGGTTCAGAAAAGGGGGAGGGGCTCGCGAGTTCCCTCAGTTTCAGTTCTAACTTGAACGGGACTTCAAGTTCCTAAAGGGGGGACCCATGATACGGGTGTATCTTCTCTTCAGGAGCTTAGCGATCCTCATGGGAGCTTGAGGATAGGAGATTCTCATATCTTGGGAATAGGAGCATGGATGGAGCCAAAGAAGACGGTGAAAGAAGTCAACAGGAACGAAACGTAAAAGAACAGGGTAAACTGGCAGATCTCTGGCCGGTCGACCGCAGCACACATGCCGGTCGACCGGAAAACCTGCACGATGCAGGGTTTGAGAAAACTCTCTGGCCGGTCGACCGGACCAAGTCTGGCGGTCGACCGGATCGCGATTTCTGGGTTTCCTGTTTCGTTTTGGATTCTGTTTTGACAGGGATTCCTGATTCTTTTGGGCTTGTTTATTTACAAGATTGCCATCCACGTTTGCACATCTATAAATAGGATTGTTTTAGGGTTCTAAACAATGAGATCTCAGAGAGAAGTGATCAAGAGAAATTCTAATAATTGTATTAGGGTTTTAGAGAGAGTTGAGAGGTTGTTCTCGATTCTAGTTGAGATTGTGAGGGAGAGATTGTAATCTTTTGTTCTTCATAATCTAGAGAAGGTATTTTCCTTCGCCTTATACTGAATTGTTCTTGTGTTTTGGTCATCCTCTTCTCAACCCACCTTTTGGTAATTCCGCGACCAAAGGGTGCTCGCACGGCGACTCGTATCAATTAATATCAAGTAGTTAGCCTTCTAAGTTCTCTGCATTCTATTTCATCATAATAAAACGGGTGCTTAAAATGAACAATTTTCAGAATTCAGATATAGTGACATATGGTGCACATCTATATATATCTAATCTACATGAAGATGCTCGCATGCATATCATCATCATTTAGTTTAAGCAGTTAAGCACTATACACCAAATTTATGGGGGAATTCCTGATGGTCAGCATGCATCCAGAATCAAGGATGATTATTTTTACCTTTACAAATGCATCTATCTGTGAATACTCAGTGGTCTTGGTATCCTCAGCTTACAATGTTCACCTCTTCTAATGCTGCAAATTACCTGATAATAATTTCAAATTTATGTTCATTTATATGGATTGGAAGCAATCCAATCATTGCATTTATTGTCTTATGTTTTTCTTATATTATTTGTTCATTGCAGTCGAGTTATAGAGGGATGTCAGTGCAAAGCTATTGTTGTTCCTGTCCTGGGCAGTAGTGTGGGAGTTACTCTAAGGAATCATGATATGTCGTGGAAAGACTTCATATCATGTGCAGACGGCATTCCAAGGTATGCCAATATGGCACTTCAATCTTTAGTGTCAATATGGCAATTTAACTCAGCTATAATAAATCTGACATTTTACAAGGGTAGATACCGTCATAGCAAATGGCCCCACAATAGTATTTGCGTATGTAAATTTTTGCAAATACTTCCATGTACGAATCTTTGCAATTCCACTATCTTTTCAATGTGGAGTAAAGTGCCAACATCTTCAAGTTTCCAGGTGCATGTTCTTTCAAACTAGGAGCTTGATTAGCTGAAAGACAACCAACTAACTTTGATCTATGCCATATACCATTTTAGTGTAACTGTACATATGTCCTGGCACAAATGGCATACACTGTAAACAACTTTTATTGCATGCAACTAGGTCAAACACGGGGAGGGAAGGATGTAGGATCGAATCCTGGAATAAAGTTCCAACAGAATGCACCTATTTCCTAAAGGAAAAAAAAAATATTCTTTTAGATTGTTTATGAGATATTATGTTCTAGAGCCACTAATATTGTAGTTTTTCCTGTATTCTGTACATTTTCTCGGACGGATTTTGTTTAAGAGTATCAATTTACAGTGTTATTCTAAACACATGAACTTTAAAGGCTTCTGATGGCAGGCCATGCAACTATTCTCCTGTTTATCAACAGACGGACGCTGTGACTAATATACTCTTCTCTTCAGGAACCACAGGTAGGAAAAACTTTCACCTTCAATGCCTCATACATAGTTTGACAAATTCATCTCTATTTTTATGCTCGTTACAGGAGATCCGAAAGCTATTCCTTGGACGCAGCTCTCTCCAATAAGATGTGCAGCTGATTCATGGGCACATATTGATATCCAAGCAGGAGATGTTACCTGCTGGCCTACGAATCTGGGGTGGGTGATGGGCCCAATTTTGTTGTATTCTTGCTTTCTAAATGGTTCTACTTTGGCTCTCTTTCACGGCTCTCCTCTAGGTCGCAGCTTTGGCAAGTTTGTTCAGGTACTATCTTTCAGAACTTTGTGTTGATTCAGGTGGTAAATTTCGCAAAACTCCTGAACTTCGGGGGCTTTGTACTAAACCTCCCTGAACTATTGGAAATTCTGATAATCGGCATTAACAGCCAGAATAATAATTGCAAAATTGTCTACGTGTGGGAGTAAATGTGTTAT